ATTTTGACGAGAAAAAAACAAAAGTTTTCCATACATTTTATGTTAAAAAACATTTATTCTCACCCATATTTTTGGTAAAATATAAAAGACGGGGTCACGTCGGGTTAATAGACAATAAACGCTTTTACAGCTCGTCAGTTTAGTGTTATCAGTGATTAATGGCCCTAAAATTATGACTCTCACTCCGACGTTTGCAGTGATATGTAACATGTGCGGCACAATAGGCGGAATCGTCGTTTACCCACTTAGGCGCACCTGAGGCATGTTTGGAAGGGGGGGGGGGGACTTAAACAAATTTGTGTTTTTTGCTTCTTGAATTTTTGTATTACATTTTTTTTTTTACACTTAACTTTATTGCTGTCACATGGGTGGCTAAGAAGCCCACTATGTGATAGCCAATATGCATGACAGGTCCTCTTTATGGAGACATCAGGGGTCTCCAAGACCCCTAATGTCACCTAGGGACCCCCAGAGAAGCTGATGAAGCAGACATCTGCTTCACCAGCTTATTCCCCAGCTTCAGAAGCTGGAGAGTGACAACAGAATGGGGAAGTTATATAATATACATCACTTCCTGAATTCGGGGACTGGAGAAGAGAACAGAGGGAGATTGTGTACTGATCTCCCTTTGATCTCCTGTCACTGAGCAGCCGTGCCGGTCCCGGCCACACTGGTCTCGGGTAGGTTTGCCACCTGTCCAGGATTCACCCGGACAGTCCGGGTTTTGAATGCTGTGTCCGGGTTTCATGTCAGCAGAAACCGGGACACAAGTTGTCAGGCAGACATGGGCAACCAAAATTAAGATAGGGGCTACTGGTCCCACTGAAAATAGTCTCAACTGTGATATTTACATATTAATGGGTGGCACTATTTACATATGCATAAGCAACGACTCGTTCTCCCCAAAAAAATGTCCACGCGTTGCTAGAGTAAGTTCGGGTTTCGCTTGAAGAAAAGGTGGCAGCCCTAGTCTCGGGACCGGCAATGGCAGAGACAGCTGCTGCTAATACAAGCGATCGGGCGTCTCTAGAGATGCCCGATCACTTGACTGTAAGGCTACTCGTCCGGCTCCGGCGTCTCTCATCATAGGCACTAATAAGAGTTACACTAATATTGTGCAACATAGAAATTTGCAACTACCAACATTTTATTCTACAGGGTCTTGGCTTTTAGCAAATATATAATATTTGGGGTGTTTGAAATAATTTTCAGGGCTAAAATGTGGAATATAACATGGTGCAAAAAACACAAAAAATGCATTGGCTATGAAAGGGTTAATCAATGGACACACCCTGCCACGCCCCCAGTATTTATGATTGGCTAAACTCAAAATTGTTTTTCTTCATCGTTACTTTTCCTTTATACTGGCTTTAAAAAGGGGCAACTAAGACAAAGGAGAGCGGATGAAGAAGGTTTTATTCCAGAATAACACTTTTGGTAGTTAAGCAGAACGTTATTCTCCTGGAAGCTTGGCTATAACATGGAGAAGTCACATTCCTTCCGAAGTTTAGTAAGGACTGCCCTTTTTTTTTTTTTTTAAAGCGCAGACATATGTTGTCATGGAGCAGGTCCATCTACACACCGTGCCTGTGCTCAGTAGAAGAATGGAACTGTCTGAACGCTGAACAAGTGTCAGCGCATGCTCAGCTTCCCCGGACCTGTCACTGTCAACAAAGCCGCGTTGCAAGCCTCGCTTTGGCGACCACGCAGACCCCGCCTTCTTCCTGGTGCCGTCATCGAATTGCGAGTTCCTTATTGGCTGCTCTAGTCCTTCAGGCCGTTGCTGACCAATAGCTGAATCGGCCGGCCGATCGACGTCACGTGACCGGAGCGGGAGGCCGGACATCTTGCGGCGGCTGTGGATGATCCGCCCTGCTGGTTGCGGAAGCGGTGACCTGGCCGGGGACTGCCGAGCGCTGGGAGGGTCGCTACGACTGATGTAGGACGAGGGGGTGAGAAGAGAGCCAACGACTGCTTTGGATAAGGTGAGGGAGACCAGCAGAGGCAGGAAGTGGGGGGATGGGGGCTTCTTATAGTACTTACTTACTGAGGGGTTGGGGTTATATGAGGCGGCATGATGGTGCCCACCGGTGAGGGGACTACTAGTCCCAGCATGCCCTGGCAGCCATGGATACTTGGAGGTGGCAGCAAGGCTGTACAGGGTGTGCAAGACTGACCATGCAATCTGATCCTACAATGTCTATAGGGTCACCATACATGTTGCTGGATTGTACAATCAGACTGAATGGGGGCTTCTTATAGTACTTACTTACTGAGGGAGGGGTTGGGGTTATATGAGGCGGCATGATGGGGCCCACCGGTGAGGGGACTACTAGTCCCAGCATGCCCTGGCAGCCATGGATACTTGGAGGTGGCAGCAAGGCTGTACAGGGTGTGCAAGACTGACCATGCAATCTGATCCTACAATGTCTATAGGGTCACCATACATGTTGCTGGATCTAAAGATTGTACAATCAGACTGTAGTGTGTATGGCTGGACCGAGGCAGAGAGGAGTGACCCACAGCATCCAATCAGAATTGATCTTTACCTCCAGTCAGCCTCCATGAACCCAGACCAGTGTGTACCTTCCTCCCTCACCTTTCTATGCGTGTATAGTACAAGCCGGGGTACCCGGTTGGTGTTGGTTGCAGCACTTCTTGCGCCGTCTTTACAGTTTGCACTGCCTGAGGCAGAAGTAAGCAACCTTGTCCCTCCAGCTGTGCTGAAACTACAAATCCCATCATGCACCCTCTTCTGAAAGTCATGCCTGTGGCTGTCAGGGTCTTACAATGCCTCATGGGAATTCTGCAACAGCTGGAGTGCCATGGTTGCTTACCTCTGATCTATACAGCTCAGCAGAGCAGGCGCAGAGGTAGGCAACCTTGGCACTCCATGTATGCTGAATCTACAAATCCCATCGTGCCTCTGGGAGTCGTGGCTGTCAGTGTTGCATTGGCTCATGGGACTTGTAGTTCCACTACAGCTGGAGTGCCGTGGTTGCATACCCCTACGCGCTATGTCTGTTGATCTGCATAGATCAGGAGTAGGCAACCTTGGCACTCAAGCTGTGTTGGAAGTACAAGTCCCAGGAGCCAATGCAACAATGACAGCCACAGGCATGACTCCCAGAGGCATTATGGGATTTGTAGTTTCAGCACACATGGAGTGCCAAGGTTGCCTAGCCCCAGCATAGATCAAAGCAGGCTCAACACAGGGACCCATTGAAAAAGATTCTCTATGTGCCCTGTTCAAACCATACAGGTGCACTGCATAAAAATGTAACGCACCGCAACGTGTCACAAAGCACGGCGGGGGCCCCAATAGAGTCTTTGTTGGTTACCCTTCATTAATGTCCAGGTGTATCTGGTGGTGCCTAGGAGAACGTCATGCAGCTGGTGGCTGAGGCCATCCAGGTGTATCTGGTGGTGCCTAGGAGAACGTCATGTGGCTGAGGTCATCCAGGTGTTCTGGTGGTGCCTAGGAGAAACGTCATGCAGCTGGTGGCTGAGGCCATCCAGGTGTATCTGGTGGTGCCTAGGAGAACGTCATGCAGCTGGTGGCTGAGGTCATCCAGGTGTTCTGGTGGTGCCTAGGAGAACGTCATGCAGCTGGTGGCTGAGGCCATCCAGGTGTATCTGGTGGTGCCTAGGAGAACGTCATGCAGCTGGTGGCTGAGGTCATCCAGGTGGATCTGGTGGTGCCTAGGAGAACGTCATGCAGCTGGTGGTTGAGGTCATCCAGGTGGATCTGGTGGTGCCTAGGAAAACGTCATGCAGCTGGTGGCTGAGGTCATCCTGGTGGAACTGGTGGTGCCTAGGAGAACGTCATGCAGCTGGTGGCTGAGGTCATCCAGGTGGATCTGGTGGTGCCTAGGAGAACGTCATGCAGCTGGTGGCTGAGGTCATCCAGATGGATCTGAACTGGGGGTGCCTAGGAGAACGCCTTGTGGCTAAGGTAGAAAGTCACTTAGGTGGACCTGCACTGGTAGTACCTAGAAGAGCTTAATGCAACTGGTGGCTGAGGATAACCAGGGGAACCCAGTGGGCACAGTTGCCTGCATAGAGCTGGCATGGGAAGGATTAATCAGGTGATGCTGGTGTGGTCCTGGTTGTCTAAGTGAACATGGCTCAGCCAGTGGCCATAGTTGCCCAGGTGGTCACATAGGGCCTTATTGGGTCACATGGTGTGTAACAACAGTAGCTGTTATCCACAATCACTTGGGATTTCACCACAATTAGCGTCCTATTCTGCACAAGAAATATGTCTGAAACTGGTGGCCACCAACATGGTCAGACTTTTTTCCTCACTAAGGCTTGACTAATTCCAAGAACGAAAGAGCAGTGACCCAACTCTTTCCAGCAATTCCCATTACTGCCATGTCTAGGTCACTCTTTCTGTTTGTTTCTGTTTCCAAAGCTGACAGTTAAAAGCCATCAACATGTATACAGACTTATACACACCCGGGGACAGCATAGCCTGAAGACATCCCCCCCCCATCAAGGGTCACTACAGACCGGAAAGAAGCTGAAGAGCAAGATCTCAAACCTGTACAGAGTGAGACAGGAAATCAACAATAGAAGCCAGAGGTACAACCCCAGCCAGCAGCTCCACTTAGGCATCCTCAGTCCACCTAAGCCGTCATCCACACTGCATGTGAATGTGCGTTTTGGGATTCCTGTGACAGGAACATCAAATATTCTGTTTAGCAGCAGCCGCTGTCACTTGGTAAGTTTAATGCCCGGGTGACAGTAGCTGCCTCTGTAAGCATTACTCTCCATGTAATCATATGTGATACGAATAGATCACCATCCCCAGACACATCTACCATGATAGAATAGTCCTCTATTCCAAACCGCATGTAATTGTATTACATACACATACATGCGGAGTACCGCTTAGAGACGAGGCCTCTGTCACCCGATCAGCAACTTGAACAAGCGACAGCAGCCGATTCGAAACGGAATATTTGGGATTCCTGCCACATGATTTTGAAGGTTCCTGCCGCAAGAATCTCATATTGCACATTCACAGACTGGCCAGGAGATGGATTCTTCCTTCATTCTTTTTAATGTGCAATAAACAAAACGGTGAGAAGTAAAGCCAACTCATAATTACAATGACAGGTGATAGGATCTGGAAACTTCCTGTTTGTGCCTTTTAGAGATACGAGTCTCTAGCTGGTGATTCAACCCACTGAAATAGTTGCATCATTCACCATTACAGGACCGATATCTGTCAGCTTCAACCTCTGGGAAGTCCTTCATCCAAAACCTGCGTATTGGTGTCACAATTACCCCAAAGGGCGGTCCGCTCCATTCCCTACATCAAAATATTGCTCTCCCAACCTTTAGTAATTACAGATGTAGACATTCGTTAAAAAGAGATCATCCGGCTTCATTTTACATTTTGATATTTGTTTTGTCATTCTCTCATGCTTGGAAGCATGTTACGGTCTAACCATCTTCATAAAGTGATGGAAACATCTTCCACTTGAAGCTCATGTTATTATTTTATTCCAGTGCAATGCCTCATGGGACTTGTAGTTCCAAAACAGCTGGAGTGCCAAGGTTCGCCACCACTGTCCTACACGCTAAACCAAGGGTTGGCATACTCCGGCCCCCCAGCTGTGTTGCGTGTAGCCTCCTGTAAAATTGCATATTTCTTTCTTTCCTGGAATGCAGCCAGACCATTCTTTGTTGTCTTGTGGAGGTACAAGCACCGCTGCTACGAGACATTTCTGGGTGTGCTAGCTAGTGTGTCCTATGTGTGCGCAAAGTCAGGTCCATACAGACATACTGTAGTTTGACAGGCTTGGGATGCAGGAACTCAAGTGACCTGACATCAACCCTACAGAACACCTTTGGGATGAACTGGATCGCCGACTGCGAGCTAGGTCTTATTCAGCATCACTACCTCAATTGACAAATGATCTTGCCAAATGCTTCAGCTGAATTGGCCCATACTTCCACAGACACACACCATAATCTTGTGGAAAGCCTTTCCAGAAGAGTGAAGACTTCTAGCCACTGGAGGTAGGGGGGTGAATCCATATTAATGCCCTTTTCATATCCGTAGGTAGAGCTGCATGCTGATGTGATTTTTAGTGAAAGGGGGTTAAAGGTCCGAACTTCATTCTTTTATCTATAATTCTCTACAACAGGGGTGCCCATTAGGTAGATTGTGATCTACCAGTAGCTCTCAAAGCTGATGCTGGTAGATCACAAAGGGTGTGAATGGTGGCCCCTTTATTTCAGCCAAGCTCCCTGACACCTTTCTGGTGGATACTGGTGGTTCCTCCATGGTAAAATGATTGAGAAAGGCTTCTCTAGCTATCTGGATATATGGTTCGATGTTTATCATGCATTTTCAAGAGCCACATGCATTTACTGAGTAACCCGAAACACAAGCACAAGTTTGACAAGAACAGAAAGCATATTTCCCCTACATGCCGGATTCTGCTTGTTTTGCATGCCGCCAAGTCTGGTGAAGGAAACATGTTGAAGGTTACCTTGGGCAGGTACATTCCTGAGCGATATAATGATTTAATGCCTTGCCAATCGTGTTCTTCTTATCCGGGGAAGACTTGTCTTACATATAAACATTGTATATAACATTTTCCATCATTTTAATTTCCTTAGTATTTTAGAAAACTGCATTTTGCCCAATTAAAATGTTTTTGTGCTTCTAGCTGCTAGGAGGTTTGTGGAGACGTTTTTGGACTCTTCTTCTGTGTGGCCACCCTTCACTTACAGCATGTCACAGCTGAGTAGCTTTCATGCGACACTAAACTCAGGCGTTAAATCTTAAAAATGCATTCAAGTCCCTTAGGTCTCGTTCACACCTAGGCGTATTGCATATGCGCGTCTGTCGCGCGTTTTTTTACTGCGCTTCGCAGTAAAAAAAGTTGCGCGTTTCCGAAGGCTACTTGGCTGTATGCCAATGGAAACGCGCAACAAAACGGCCCAAAGTAGTACCTGTACCTTTTCAGGCGTGGGCCGTTTTGTAGCGCGTTAGGGACGGGCGGAAATACGCCAAGGTCGGAACGAGACCATTGCATACAATGGGATTTATATTTTTGAGCGTTTTGTGGAGCGTTCGCCGAGCGTGGAACGCGCTACAAAACGTTCAGGTGTGAACGAGGGCTTAACTATATTAACATGTATCTTATTTGTGTATCGCTCGGCTGTAGATCCTCAAATCATCTCTGAATTGGTGCGGACACTGTCCTTCCTTCTGGAGGGGGGATTACTTTTGTTCCCCATGGTCCGTGTGTGTGTTGTAAAGTAGCCACCACTCCAAGCCCGCTCCTGTGATGCACTAGTCTTTACAAATTAGTAAATATAAACTGAGATTACACATAATATAAAGATAGATAGGTGGGGAGAGAGAGAGAGATATAAGATGTAACAAAACAGAAACGTAGTATTGCAGTGTGCAATGATACCTTTCTTATTGGACTAACAAAATATATAAAAAAGCCAAGCTTTCGAGAGTTGACCACATTGCATTACATCATTGCACACTGCAATAGTGTGATAGCACTACAGTTAAGTTTTTTTTTTTTTTAATAGTTTTTTTTTAAAAAGTACTAAATAACAGTTAAAAATGTAACTAAATAAAAATGTAAAAATAATAAAACAAATGAAACATTTTTACAAAGTAAATAAAAAATGAAAACCAGTCCCGCTGCCCCATCTGCATGTGAATAAACTGCGATTGTGTGCTACCGCTCGGAGAACACAGCAACCTGCCGGGCACGACTGGGGTGCCATTAGAAAATAATGGCACTGCCAGCGCGATCGGCGGTGGTGTGCGATCTGTGACTGCCCGGTCATCGTGCACGAAACCGAGCGAATGGCTGGGTGGTCACGGAATCACACACCACCGCCGATCGTGCTGTCGGTGCCATTATTTTCTAATGGCACCCAAGTCGTGCCAGGAAGATTGCGCGTTTTCCTGCAGCAATAACGCCCGGGCGATCCCACACGATCACGGTTGAAAACACTGCGCGGTGCATGTTGTGAAAATAGGTACATGTACCTTTTTTTCAGCAATCCTTCCCCCTCCACCAGTACGGTGTACTATCTGTACCTGTTCCATGTATTCTGAATTTCGCTCGCAAATTGCAAGCACTCGTTGGTCAACGAGGCGACCTGACGGCACTGACCAATGAGGAGCGCTTCTTAGCACTGCCAAATACGGTTTTGGTTAAAATTCTTTTTTTTGTATCAGGACAAGTAGATTGTCATGAAGGACAAGTAGATTCGGCCCCCGCTTTAGTCCTTGGACAAGTAGTTTTTTCCAAAATGTCCACACCCCTGTATATAGATAGAATATAGATAGATACACAGAGAGAGAGAGAGACAGCAGAGTGAGAATATATATATATA